GCTAGTAGAAACAAGTGCCTTACTACTAGGAGCAAGGACGCTACTAGCCACCAGTGCAACGCACTGGACACGTCATATGACAGGCTTCAGTCCCCAGGTCCTGCCGTCATATGGCGGGCTGTTCAGTCATGGCACCTCCCCCACCAGTCCCCATGGAAGATTGGCATGCCTAATAGAGGAATACACCAGGAGTCACAACGGGGTGGTGAGATAGACATCTATAGTGAACCGCAGTTGTATTGCTTTTCAATCCTTGCTTGTTCAACAGGTGTTGATGATGTTGATGTAGACCCCACTGATCTAGTCCGCGACTTCGGTTTGGGGACTACACGGGCTATACGGGGGGTACCGGTGTTTCGTGTCGGCTGCTGACGATGAATCAGCCGCGACGCCCCGAAGAAACCCCGATGAAGCACCCGAAGGAATCCCTGAAGTCGGGTCCGTCGCTGCCGCCGTCGGTGGACCCGCAGTCTCTCTTCAATCGGGTGTCAAGGTCCTGCGCTCAGGCGACAGGATGCAGTCTTTGTCCAATGGATTCTCTCAGACTCTTGGGGGGCGTCCGCATGAAGTCCCTGTATCCACAAGCTCATCAAGTATACTAGGATAAAGATTGATAAAGTGTTATTTCGGTCCCCCAACCATAGGTAAATACATGTAAATACCATGAATCAATGAACAAGAGAAAGAAGAGTGACAGAAGCCGACTTGAAGAGCTGGCTGGTTATCAAACACCCTGTAGACCTTTATATATATATACTACTTGTATATGCTGGTTTGGCCTGTGGAGTATGCATCAACCGAAGAACCCCGCAGTCTGCAAGTCTTGTTGTATTTGCGGGTCACATCTTACATACATACCCAGGATTCAGCTCTCCGGTAGACCAAAAAACACAGAATTAGTAGATTCACCTCTGGGGTAGATGCTGGAAGGAAGAAATCCTACACCATCTGTCAGAATCTATCACCATTTCAAATTAATCACATTCAAGAACACTTTCAAGAACGCTTGGATATGCTGGTCTGGATGCACCTCAAATACTGGTTTGGGGGCTCATGGTGCTGAAGAGAAGATCCGAAGATTTTACAAGCTCTCTCTCTCTATATATACTGTAGTGGATCGGTATGAAGCGCGTTGATATGCAGAACAAAAGTCAAACAGTCTTAGAGGTGCAAACGCAACTTCTATGAAGACTACGGAACACTTAACACAACATCTTAGAGCTGGTCAATGCTTTGAATAACCCCCATTCTATACTAGAGTCCCACTTGACTGGCTGTCACTACAGCCTTTGATACATCATGTCAAACATCATGAGTGCCATTTCCGTTTGATCACCATCCATGGGATGCTCAGCACCCCAGACATGCACCATGTCCTGACATACCAGTATCCCCCAGGGGCCCACTCCCGCCGTCGCCGAGGCCTCAGGCGCACTCTCCACGGGCGCGACCCCAAAGCCAGGGCTTCGCCTCAAGCTCGGCGGACGAGACAAAATGGACCGCACCCACGTGTTCCCTTGCGATCGCCACAGGCGGCTCAAACGCACAGAGGTGCTGCAAGAAAGCATATAAATAGATATAAATAGATCCATTTGTGAGTGCTAGCAGTGCAAGCAAGTTATATAAATTGGCTTGGATTGGTGAGGTCCTCATCAAAGTCATCCAGTGGAACCGCTGGTGCTTGGAACAACATTGAGGGGTTGAGCCCTGATGACTTGGACCCCAAACGAAGATCAACGAAGGCTGCAGGAGCCGAAAGGAAGCGGCTGCTTCGGCTCGGGCGATGCGGCTGAAGGCTCCGAGTGGGCGACGCCACCACCTTCCGCCGTGGTGCGATGCGAGAATGGGACCCCTTTGTACCAGCGTTCAAGAAGCCCTTTGTTCAGGCTCTTCAGGGGAAGGGCTGGTGGAGGTTGTATGAATGATCGAATGCAAGGATCAGTCGTTGGTCTAGGACTCCTAGGGACGTTTCTGGAAACGTTCCTGCTTTCCATGCGCAGGTTTTCCAGTCTTTTTACATGTACAAATTGACCTATATTGCCTCCAGCTTCCAAACCGTCCAAGAAGTGCGAAAGATAACCAGATTGTCCCTAGTTGAAGGTAGATACATGTATATAGATGATGCCACAAGATCCGTATGTTACCTACAACTTCCTTTGTTTTCTACTATACAGTTTTATATCCCTGGTCGTTCGCTCTTTGGAGCGTGCTCAAACACGTGGCTGGTGGCGGCTTTTTCATTCATCGGCTCCAGCTGGTGGGTTTCCGGCGAAAAGACGCCAGAGACCATCGAGGGAACGACCGCGATACACACGTGCCCCGCGCGGGAATCGCTCATGGACCTCGTTTAGGCGACCGGGCGCGTTCCGGGCCTCCCGAGCGTTTTTGGTTCGCCAGGCGTTAAGGACCCGGATCCAGGTCCTTTCCCGAGAAACCTCGGCGACGCAAGCTGGAAAGCCAGTTCCAAGCATAGCAAGTGGTTGCTTGTGGGTTTCCAGGAGCCAGCCACTCCTGGCAGAGGAAATGAAGGAGTGTTGGAGGGGAGGTTTTCTCATGTGAACCTCTCTAGCTCCTTTCAGGGAGACCACCAGTCTGGTCCTGGCGGAAGTCAAACCTTCATGATTCATGGATTGTGACTTGTGGTGAAAACCTTAATCTTCTTCAAAGCAGCATCAAGTGGGTTTTAGACATAACACAGCTAGCCGCTAGGCCCATGGTTCTTTTGCTTTGGGACTTAACGTTTGAAATTCCTCGCAATGACTGCACACAAGTGAGCCGTTTGCCGCTCTGGTATTTTTCCAAGAATGTCTTTCTGCCATGACCATTTCAAAGTAGCTCTTATACTACTTTATCAATTGGATTCTGATGTTGCATGGAGTATCATACAGTATGATGGCATCGACACTGGATCCATGTTGGTGTTGTACTGGGCCAAAAGTCAGCATCCAAAAACCATAGAGAAGGCAACTTCCCTGGATGGAACTAGTCTTTGGTGCTATTGGATGTGCACCCGTGGTAGCAGAACATGGCAACAAGACGCAACAAGCAAACATAAAAGTGCAACAATGTGACAATGTACTACAACTCTTGTGTTTGTAGACCTATATAACATCGTGTAAATTAAAGTAACCCCATGCAAACAGGTACAACAATTGATCAGTACACCTCAAAACGTCTTGAAATCTACGGGTCGCGCCACTGGACCTCTTCCGTCTGCCCAGGGTGTTTTGTTGGGCCCATCAACCCCATGGGCTGTGCACTGTCAAGCCCCGTTGAGCTCATCCGGGTGCAAAGGCACGACCTCCGAAAGCGTGGCGCGACGCGGTGTTGGGCGTGGGTTTCGGGGGTCGAAGGGTGCCAAAAGCCGGTGGTGTGCCATAGCTACAGGCTATAGCATGATATAGTACAATGTAGCAATATAACAAAGCAATGTAATTTAATCACAAAGGAATATAGAATAATGTAATTAATATGATATGGCATATAACATATTATTCTATATTATATCTATATTATTGTATCATATCATATAGTAGGCATATATAGGGGGGCTAAACGGCATGTCGAAATCTGTTTGCCAAATTGTACTACTTGTGAGGTGAATATTTTCTCGTTTTTGGGGTTGGCGGTCCTACTGCCGGACCTGACTTGAGAGGGCTGTCGGGCCTGTGGTGTTCGAGTTCTATCCATGAAAAGCATGCGCGATTGGTGCCACTCAGACATGCCCAAAGGCAACTCCTCATAGGCTTCAATTGGAGAAGTTGGGGAGCTTCTTAGAATCTTGGTGGCAGACTTTCCCTGTTGAACTTATGCAGATTCTTCCTGGAACTCCCTCCCTCCAATCCCGGCCCTAATCAACCAGTGATTGCGAAGACTGAGCCCAGAGTTTTGATGTGGGTACTGTATATATTATATACTGTATATTGTATGGCTGTGTCAGACGCCTTGCAGAAAGGAACGATTAGACAAACATAGACACACAACCATTGATTCAAATGCTCCCTCTCTAGTCCGATACAAACCCATTAGTCAGACATGGGAGTCGTTGGGCCGTCAAAACAGTGATCAGGTTGGTGGCTGCTTGTTTCTTCTGGTGGGAGGTGGGAGGTAAAGAGGAACAAACCTAGGGGACCAAGCACCATTTACCATTGCTCGATCTCCTTGGTTATTAGATTTGATGGCCATTGGAGTCCATGTGAAACAAGCCTCAACGCAGGCAAGGCACTCTTCATTGGTGTCTGCATCGGTGTTGTGCTGACGCAGATTTCCCTGGGTTCACAGCCTTGGCCGACCCCCTAAAGGGTTTACCAGGTCCATCTACCACAGCTGCTTCAACGAGCGCCTGCGCCTTCGGATCTGTTCCCCAGTGGTGTTCCAGATGGACATCGATGTTCAAAAAGACGAGTTCCAACAAAAAGAGGGCCCGGATTTTGAGACTCCAGAAACGGCTTCCCTACGTCGTGGAAAGAGGCTTCGGCGGGCCCAGACGCGGCTTTGGACCTCGGGTCTTTTTCGCATCGCCTGGACCTTGGGTCTGACGCTTTGAATGCTCCTTTGTGATGCTCCTGAATCGCTCTTCTCCGCAGGCAGGGCTCCAGCGCCTTCCGATGTGCAGTTGCGGAGATGCAGGGCTGGCGCGTGGGTCACGAGGTCGGAGAGCCGTGTCTTGGAGAGTCGTGGGCTGGCCCCCAAGGTTCGGGAGGGAAGCAGAGCGCTTCCAAGGTACGCGAAACTGGCGGATCTTCTGAAGCAAAGGAAAGCTGCGGAACAAGCAGAAAAGGGTGTTTGTGAAGCCTTATTATGGATTCTGAGGAACCGGTGTCAGACACATACCTCTGAGGACAGATGCAGACCAGGTGGACATGAATCAACACATGACCACCACGATTTCCCTGCTTTGAAATCGATTGAAATGCAAAAACTATCAAACACTGGTACAAGGCAAGACGGCTTTTATATTACAACAACTACAATTGGTGGCAAAACATTTGTGTGAAAGGGCAAAGTGCCAGGGTTTAGGACCAAACACCTCCCCATGAACATCCACAGCAGCTGAATAGAACTGTGGCATACGGAGACTGTCTGACGCGAAATATCTTTACTTTCCCAGTCAGTGATGTCTTCGGTTCAACCAAGACATCTACTGAACACAGACGTCTAGCTGGTCGGCCTCTTTTCGGAGACGTCCACCAGACCGAGGGAACTCCTGGAACTCGAACTCACTGACCGTGTTTCCATCACGCTGGGAGCCATTGGGCCATTTAGGCATGTGGATGTGTGACTCCGCCAAAGCGATAAATAAGCAGCATTTCATCATATTTCAAGGAAATGGACATCACATACACTGTAGCTTGAAATCCATATTATCCTGGAAATCCATTTCATCATATTTCAAGCCTTTCCTGATATTGGATTTCCTTGGATTTCCAGGAAATGGCTGACACGACATCACCTGAATATATTGACACGGGGAGATCTATTTCTGTCTGAATTCCATTGCTTTGGGCGGACCGACGACCTTCACCGACGACCTCCCTGGAGCTGCTCCGCTGCCGGCCGCAGGACGCCCATGCCATGCGCTGTGAAGGCTCTTCGGCGACCTGTTTGGTCTTCGATGGTCCGGGACACCCAGTGGGCGGGAGGGAAGTACCGCTGGACCCAACATCGCGGAGAAAGGCTGGGAGTCAGCTGTTTTGGGGGGTGTCTTCTTGGTGAAGCGGCGACTATTCTGTGGTCTCTGGGGTGAAAAGGGTGGAATCAGATGCACCTTGGTATCTCCAACATTCTCCAACTATATAGCTTTGTAAACTATTTCCAGAGTCTTTGGTCAAGCATTTGTTGAGTTTACTGTGTATGATATGGGTCTTTCCTAGTTTTTCAACAACTCGTTTCCAACAAATCAACCCCCCCCAAACCCATCACCAGGTCAAAGCAAACACATCAAAACCACGCCAAAATCCCACTCCAACGCCCAAAACGCCACTCCCACTCCGACCACTCCCCACTTTCCACTCCCTTTTTTGTGTCTAGCTGTCAGCTAGCTGGAAGCAACACACATATACACATGAGAACAACACGTCCCAAAAACGTTCACTCCAAAGAAGAACAACACGTTTTGCCGCCCACGAAGTAACCAAGGGCATCAACATGCATAAACAATATTCTCTTAGCATGGACGCGACTAACGAAAAAATGGGCGCTCCTGGCCTTACAGGCTGTACTACAGGAACCTACGGGTCCCATGCGAGTTTGCGAAGGACGAACCCCACGGGTCTGCCGCCGGGATCGGACCCCGCGCCGGTGCTCCAGGCCACGGCGGCGACGGCGCGGCGCTCTTCGCGGCCCCGGAGCTCTGTGAGGAGAGTCCGACGGCGGCGGTGGCGGTGTCTGGGTGCGAGCTGGACTGCACTCCTATCTGGGAGCTTCTGACCCAGACAGGATGGTATTGAATGATATTGTCTCTCCCTGGAACTAACATGGAAGCGGATGGCACCACCTGTTTGTAGTGGAAAATGGTCTTCCAAGGGGCCATTCTCCACTTCCATGTCAGTTCCAGGGAGTGTTGTTGTGTATTTATAGGTCGTAGAGTCATGTCGGGTCGTATCGGTAGAGTCGTGTGAAGCCGAACGAGGTCCGAGGTGAAACACCCAGGCGGATGTTGTAGATGAAGTACTCAGAGACCTGTCAGACGCTTCTTCTTTTATATGTAGAAGCCACCGTGAAACACAGCGACATTCTATGGTTGAAGAGCTCATTATGGAAACCGCTAACAAAACGTACTAGGGGCAGCTTTTGGAAGCACTGGTTAGAAACAACTTTTAAGTTATTTGCTTAGTTGCTTAGTATGCAATCCCTTTGTTTCTATTGTTTTGCTAGGTGGTGTATGATGTTTGACCAACTACTCTCCATCGGTGTTTGTTCTGCCGGGGCCCCGAAGCAGGACCTCTACAAGGGAGAGAAGGCTCCAGATGTGCCGTCAGATGCGTACCTCAGCCTCAGATTTGCAGCATTGCTTCCACTTGATTCCAGTTCACAAGTCGGTCAGGGAAGCATTTGGGCCATTTGGATCCATTTGGTTTGAGTCGCTCAAATTCGGCTTGCCGGCTTTTATCTGAGGCGATTCCCATAGTTATAGACCCATTAGGCACGCCCGTCATTGGTCGCCTGTTCACCCACCAATGGTCAACGACCATCCAAGGAACTTGTCCTGTCGAGCTGTGCTGACTTTTGACTCACCATGGGCACCAATTTTGGGGAATACTGGTAGCAAGAATGCTGCTGGTACCTCCTGGCATTACTACTATGAACAAGAAGCTACTAGTAACGAGGGCATTACTACTAGTAGCAAGAATGCTACTAGATGCACTCACAATATCTTGAGACCAAAATCCAGAGGTGGACACACACCCTCTCTCCTTGTTCTGCCCACGGTGGAGATCTCTCCGAGGCATATCGAGGGGTCCTTCGCCCATGTGGACCAGAAGCTCCGAGGATACTTCCAAGAGCATGCCGAGAAGGTGTGGTCAACCAACGCCGAGCGTCGAAAGAAGACGAAGCACCGAGCGAAGTGGTTGGAAGAAGACGTCTTGTCGATGTGGACTGGTGCTGCCCTCCCTCCGGTGGGTTTGGGATGATCCTGGGAGTCCTAGGTCGTTGCCATGTGGAGATTTGAACCTCGCACCATTTTTGGACAACACATGTTGCAGATCACGTGGCTGCAAAGCGTGTGTATACGCGTGTTCACTCACACCAATCAGATAGAATCAGTGAAATAGACAACACAAAATCAACCAAACTGCGAACAACTGGGAAACAAACAGGATCAGATGGCTTGCGTGCAGTTTGGACCCGCTTACGAACCCAATTTTGCCTGCTCCGCTTCCGCTTTTATCCACATGGGGCAACCGCCGCACAGGATTCGGGCACCACGGTGGTGGGCGCCGTTTGTGCGAGAACAAAGGACAATTCCTACACGGCATCTCGTCCACCGAAGGTTTCGAAGCGGGATGGAGGTATAGACGAAATGATTCTCGAAACAAAACATTGCGTGTAGCCTGTGCTTTTTTTCTCGTCACCAGATGTGACCGCTTGAGGGTAAAAATGTATTAAGGACATCCCGACATCCCCACGTAGTATTTGGTTTGTAGAGGCCTACCCGCAACAACATTGGTGGAACAAATCCCACAATTGCTAGGTCGTTTTTTCTTGGGTTGTTTATGTTTTTGTGTTTTTTTAAATGAAATTTCCGCTCTCGGAGCCCTTCAAGTCTCTTCGGGGTTGGAATGAAGTGACCGGCCAGAAACCGGATGAGATCGCCTGAAGTAGAGCACTTGGCAAATCAACTGGGTGGTAGTTTCAGATCTGTCTATTTTCCACCTCTACTTGGGTGTTTCTTGTGTGAACCCACCTATTTTTGCGAGTTGGAACCACCAACCAGTTAATGATTAAGGGCATTGGGGATCAGTCCGGACGGTCCGCCGCCCTTCCTCGGCCTCAGCGTCTGAAGAGGGTAGCAAGGTGCATCGCGTCTGGAGAGTAACAAGGACGCTATGAACGGGGCTGGCCTTACTACTAGGCTACTAAGTGGACACTACTAGGAACAAAGGGCATCGCTACGTTCGGAGTTTCTCCACCTGCAGGAACCCACTTCCCCCCAAACGCCGCCGCTTCAGCGGGCGAGTCATCGGGTCACAGTGGCCAGGACAGTGACCGGAGAGGGTCGACGCTTGACTGGTCGGCATGCGGAAAAGGATATGAATAAACCCTGAAAATCGTATTTACATGTTTAAAGACATGTTGGAATCTACAACATTTTTTAAAACATAATTCATGTCGAATATCTCCAATATCTCACGTTCCAGGTGGAGAAACCTCCAGAAGGTCCATCCATTCCCTTCCATTCCTCGTCGAATTCCCTTTCACCTTCGTTGCTGAGGTGAAACTTCTGAATTGTGGTCCGGGTGGCCCAGAAGGTGTGCGGTTCTTGTTTTGTTTTTTTTCACCCACTCATCCGGAGGAAGGGTGGGTGAAAAAAAGGAGGCCGGTCAAACTCATCCGCCAGGTGTAGGCTATAGGCTAGAGGATGCTATGGGTCATTCGTTCCCTTCAAAATTCTAAAACACATGGTTTTGTTGGCAGAGGGTGACATGGAATGTGCCATCCCAAGTTTCTTCGCCGACTGAGTGCTGGTTGACAGACGACTGAGACAGCTGCTATCCACACCTAACTACCCCCTTCCAGAAGTTCCACCCACTCTCTACACCGAGGAGATTCCCGCGCTGTGATTGTCCGAAATCCCAAGGATGAGGCCGAAGAGACCTTGTGACCTGGTCCGGGGTTCGTTCTGAACGATCTGAAGGGTCTGTTCGTTTCAAAAGCCAGCGTGAATTAGAAGCTGAAGTTCTGTGGCCAAGGGTGTAGCTTCTATTTTGATGATTCTAGATGGATTTAGTATGATTTGGGAATCCCGAGTACTGATTTAAAGACACTTATGAAGACACTACCCAATAAAGAAAAGAAACGCATGTCGGAGACCCATGGAGACCCATAATAACACACATATATATATATATATTATATATTATATTACATTATAGTATATATTTTAATATTTATATATGCTTTCCAACTACCGCCTTCTTTTAAACAATACTACTAAACTACACACACACAGGTCATTTGGTGGTGTCACCACCAATCGTGCCCTTCACTAGCAATACTCATTTAAACACGCCACATGTGCAACCTTCCCCAATGGCACGGAGCCACGCAAACGCGCTTTCCACCGAGGCCTTGCAAGCCTCACGGCACAGCGATATCACCTTTTGAAATCTTTAGTTGTTAGTCTGATGGACACTTTGCAAGCGAAAAATATCGAAGAATCAATAATTTCTCACACTTTTAACCTTTGAAACAAAGGGTTTTGTAAAGGGAAAAGGAAGACCCTTCGATCTGGAGTTTATATTTTGATACAAAGTAGAAAAAGTAGCTAAGTTAATTTCGAATTTTTAGATAGTTTCCTGGTCATATTCCTTCAGTTCCTGTCTTCCCTTGATGTTTGAAGAGTTTTGAGAGCATTTCTTAAAATTTGGAATTTGTACGTGTGGGACATGGTCTTCCCGAGGACTTTTTCGTGTATTTTTGTTATCGTTATGTTATCGCTTTGGAGCCCCCAATGCTTCACCCATTTTGGTGGCCTAACGGAAATGAGTGTGTCTGACAGCAAGATTCAGGGGGGGGATGGGGGGGGGTCCAAAAATGTAAGCGCGCCACCGTGCCTCAAAAATGTAACTTACAATTTTTGAGGTCATTCCCCGGGAAATCACCCATGAGGCCTCAAAAATGTAAGTTACCTTTTTTGAGGCCACCTCAAAGTTAATGTAACCCTCCGCGTAGGAAAATGTAACTTACAATTTTCGACGTTACCCCTCAGGAAAGGGTAGTGATATTGTATGTTAAAAATCCTAGGCGACTGTTCAGTTTTGAAGCTTTTCGCAGGCTTCAATCTTTGAGTCATGCGCCACTCACCTCTCTCTGGAACCCACTGTGGCTAGATCTCTAGACCTTCCCCTCCTACACCTCTAGACCTTAGACCTTTAGATGCACTGTTTGGGGTGCCGGGATAACCATTTCTTGGGGCCAGACATAGCCTGCCGGTCCGTGGAGCGTCAGGAATCCAACTCGGTCTCGATTCGCAGGCGGACGTGGGGTGGTTGGTGGACGTGGGACGTGGGACGTGGGACGTGGAAGGGGAGAAAGGGCATGGGCAAGCGAAGGGGTGCCCAAGGAACGATCCACAGGTTTAACATTAACACACCGGATCCGCATAGCCGCGTTCTTATGTGGGTATAGCCTATAGGTGGTTGGATTCGCGGGCTTGTTGGAGAGTGGAAGCTAACACACATGCTTGAGAGAACAAACCCTTGGCCGGATCAGTCGGTAACGTTGGATGAGGCCAAACCCAAAAATGAAACGCATGCAGGTGACAGGTGCCACTGACCACCTTGCTTTGGTGGCAGACGCTTGATCCGCCATGTGCAGAGCAGCCTCCACCTAAAGGCTAGATGACCATGATTCGGTGAATTAGAGCGTTTTGTTTGGTGCGCACACAACAGAAAACATCGAGAATGACAACATGGATTTGCTTGCTACCGAGGAATACCTTCGGCCAGTAGACCGACCATCGAACCTCGAAGCTATGAGATGCTGCGATTCGAAGGCTCACCGAGGTGTGACATATGCCACCCGACTGTACAGGACACTGAGTGAGACGCCTAGGGTCCCCTGGGAGGCCTGTTGCTGTTGAACTGCCTCGAGAGACCTGTTGCTTGTTGCAAGCTCAACACCCAAAGGTCCTGGACATGTCTCGAGCAATTCCCCCTAGGCCCTAGGCCAGTTTTCCACAGCTTGAGATATGCGTTGGAACTAGTATGATCAACCAGGGGTTCCAAAGTTGTGTTGATTTTCAGATTTAGGGGATTTAGGGCCTAAAAACCACCCCAACCTGGAACAGTTTTCCAGCAACGAGGCCTAGCCACATTGAGGCTTTGGCTTGCCTAGGCGCCGGGGGCACAGGTGCGTGTCCACGTTTTGCGTGTGTTGTGTGTTGACTGTTCCAGGTTGGTGACAGTCACCAAGTGGACCTTCGGTCGTGGACATCTGCGGCCCGTGGACATTTGTTCAGCATGGAGGTTCGGTTCCATGTTCGTCACATCGCCCCTCACTTTCAATTTCCTGAGCTGAATCGAAACCACCCACGCGTGTTCAATCACCTAGGCAAGCGCAAAGTGGACATGACACCAATGGCACTTGCCTAGGATGTGTCAGTTGGCCGAATTGGCCAACGGTGTTTCCCTTGGTGAAGGATCGACCGAACCCTTTGTTTCGACCTGTCCAAGGCCACGTTGGGCGCCGAATGTCCGGATACCGGAACATGAACTGTATCCCAAGTTATGACAAGACATGTTGAACATGTAACATATATGTTTAACAAGGGTCAGCCAAAGAAGATGAACTCTTGATAACGCGTGTTTACTTGTTTGTTTGAATTTGTTTTAGACCTTCCCTGGCCACAAAGACCAGGAAAGAGAAGCATCATGAAGCATCTGAACAGATGGAGACGAAGCAACACGGTTATTGAAAACCTTTTCTTTGCGAAACAGCGGTTTTCCTGCAGAACTTCCACATGGATCTGCTTTCGTTTCCATTTGTGCGGTAGAAAGGTGGGTGCGTTGTGAAAGGAGGTGAGTGAGGTGCTTTCGTGCCAAAGGAAGAGAGCAAACGGGAGCTGAAGATGGTTTTTGGCTTTGTTTGTATGTAAGGAGGCGGAGTGGAGGGCGGCATTCATGTCGCTTTTAAAGTTGAGGTCCTTCAGGTTTCGTACACCGCGCCACTTTGGTAAAACAACTGTTTGTTTTCGGGCTCCATGGTGGGAGTGGGTGGGGTGGGGTGGGGGGATGATGGTTGGCATTGTCATCAGCAATGAATAATTACACCCTTGCAATCAATACAGAAAAGAGACGGCTTCCTGTTGCAGGAACATATATAACATGCTGCTAGTAGCAAGCTATTAGGTGGAGGCCATCGCAAGTAGGTTGGAGGCCATGCTACTAGTAACAAGAAGCTCTGTTTTTGAAAATTGGTTGCATGACCTCTTGAGATGTTGCGTACGGACTGGTTCAATTGCCAGGCACACTGCTTCTCTAGACAAGTCTCGCGAGGTTTTGGAGTTTTTCATGAAGGACAAAGACTGGCTGATTAGTGAGTACAAGAGAAAAGGCATTCGGACATGAGTGAATTGTTCGTGGTTACACTCTTTTGGGGGTTGCTGAATTCTTTACCAGTCCCAATTAGTTTTGCTCACTTGAGGCGAACAAATTCCCATCGGTGCGCGTTTAGGACCCAACGGGGTGTTTTTTGATTCTCAAACGATGTGCTTTTTGGTGTTCGAGATGGTAGTGAATATAAAACATGTATAGGGTGTCCCTGTTTTCAATGTTTTCAAGCTCCGTTCAACCCCTCCAAGCACACTCCCTTGAATAACGACCGGTCGATGACAGACGTTGCCTTTTATCAATGGCCACCTAGCTGCAGATCCGGCCCGGACACGGTCGCCAGGCAACCCAGCCAAGGGGATCGATGGACGGCCCATCGAGGCAAGGTCCTGTCCTACGAGAAGATGAGTGGGTGGTAGTAGCGTCCTTTGCTCCGTTCGTAGCGATGCCAGGAGCACCTAGTAGCTTCTTGTTACTAGTAGTGAGGCCAGGAGCCCCTAGTAGCGTCCTTGCTCCTAGAATGGGTGGTAGAAGTGTCAGATCGATTTTCAGAGATTTACTCAAGAGATGGGAAACATGCACCTCGGAGAGTAGGTGTTTGCAGGTTCATTGCTCATTCGTGCTATGGTTTGTCGCATAGAGCAGGCTTGAAACAGTGGCACCATGTGGCACCCAAAGTATCCCAAAGCCCAGGGCTTTGCCCAGGCGTTGCCGGATTTGTCGAACAAAGACCGTTTAGGTGAAGAACGCCAAACCGAGCCATACTGAGCCACTCCGCGGAAACGGCGCCGTTCGTTTCCAACGGTATTTCGTTGAAAAAAGCATCTAGACTTCTAGAGGGATCCATTCGAGTTCACGTCCCGGACCTTCCAGCGGGCTTTGGAACGCCGGACCCCTCTTGACCGGTCCATGCAGGACGACTCGTCCCCGTCTGGAAAGCCGGGACGCCGAGCCGGCAAAACGGAGGAAGAGATGCGACCAGCTTCGATGGTGAGATCGAACGCTGTCGGACGATCCTTCCGGAAAGTTCGACATATAACACGTTTTTCATGCCGCTTGACGTCCAAGGTCACAAATCCACAAGGATATCCCAAATTCGCTTGGATCTGCCTTTGACACGTTCCTGGTCCGGCCCGCATGGGACTTGAAGCAGGAAACGGCGAACACTTGCAATAGGTACCGTAAGACACCAACATGGCACTCCCTGCTCGTATGCATGGCCTTAACATCTGTCAGAGTGTATTTGGTATAGAGATTGGTTCATATTGGTTCTGTTTGAACATATAAATTATGTGGGTTTTCTGATTTTTTCAACTTCTTCTCATGTTACAATCTGAATCCTGCGCCGGATTTAAGTTTAGTGTCTATAGTGCTACAAGTGGGTTATATGACCTTCTTGTCTACGTTCAGTTCTGGTGTCTACTGCAAATACACCTTTTGGACTTCTACTCTGGGCGCAATTGAACCTCAGGCATCTCCAAAAATCCAACTTCTATATATAGATTCTACTAGTAGCTACGCCTTTCAAAATTCATGGCGCGTTTGAGTCAATGATGCATGCAAATGAGCGAATTCAATAGAATCTTGTCCGTTCGATTGATGGCTTCCAAACATGTTTTTGAATGGGGACTGAATCAGGGCGTTTCCTGATACAAGTGTTGGGGTGATAGCACTTCACTATGCCTTACAGATACTCGTTCAGGAACAGATGATGCAAACTACTCTTGGTGTCCAGAACAGCAGGTCCATAAAGGTGTTTTTGAGCAGGTGTATAACGGCCGATGCCTGTCTTTGATTGCAGCCATTTGGACATTACGAAGAACTCTGAATAGTCAACATGATGCAAACAATAGTCAACGTGTTTAACAAAAGGTATAAGCACTTTTGTTCCTAGTAGCTTATTGCTCCTAGTATTAGGGCAGGAGCCCCTAGTAGCGTCCTTGCTCCTAGTAGCGATGCCCTTGTTACTACTGACTATCAATTGAGGGCAAGATCAAGCAACATGAAACATCAGCTCTCATCAACGAACGAACGCCCAGGGTGATCTGAGTCCGCGCAAGGCATGTCATGGATGCAAAACCCAAAGATCTGGATGATTTGGACGGAAAAACCACTTCATGATAGTCCATGAATTAGTATCACATGCTATAACATACTATATACTATGCATATAGTTATATATATATATACATATCCAACCTGTAAACTCATGTAAAATCACTCTACCTAACAATCTCAAGTTGATTCTTCTCGCCTTAAAGTCGTCCTCCTCACCGACATGAATGGCCACGCAGAGGAGTTCTTTCCGAGCGAGTTGGGCTTAGACACGTTGCTTCTCATCATGCGGATCGGGTGGCTCGGATTGTGTGCGCCTAAAGGTCGGGTCTATCGGTCTATCATGTTTCCAAGACAGGAACGCCCTGGAACGCCTATCATCGATGATGATGCAGATGATTGCAAGCATCGGTCCAAGGTGGCTGGACTGAAAAAACAAATCGACCAACAACTGGATGACACTGCGTGTGAGTGATCAAATGATGCAAAGCAAGGGACATTGGACAAGTAAAACCTGCTTGACATTTGCCAAGTGGATAGGGGCGACATAGACTCTTGACGAGCATGCTGGGAGTCTAAAACCCCGCAGGCCGATAAATTTGAGGATGTCCATGGACAACACAATTAGTTTTTCCGGCACTCATGTAGATCCTCACTCTATTTGAGGGTACCAAATGGATTTCTTGACGTGATGTTGCCGGAGCGTGGTACCTCAACAGAAGTTGGTGCTGGTATGTTGGATGCCTGCCCAAATGAACACTTGTGGAACATGCGTTATCCCAGGATCTCAAATAGGGTTTACTAATTGGCTCATCGGCACAACTGACATCCGCTGACTCAAATAAAGCAAGAGGAGTATGAAACAGCGCTTTGCTTTTCTGCAGTCTCAATGTTTTTGTTTGAAAGCAACAAAACAACATCACATGACGCAGACCATGAATACCCCCAGAATCTTGCAACTTGTTCTCGTTCTTGACCTTCATGATTCATCAGACACAACGTTTTGTGGACAAGCTCCAAAGAGGTGTGTGTGTGTGTCCAAGGGGTATCTTACCTTGTTTGACAGAAGCACGTGGCTCTTGAAGGGCCGTCACTGGCAGAGGAGCAGACAGACCAGACCGACCAGACCGAGCAGACCGAGGAGATTGACTGGAGGAGAGCAGCGACGGCCCGGAAGAGAGAGTTTCTTCTTGGGCAAATAAACAGCAAAGGAAGATTCATCCTGCAGACTCACATGGACCCCCCAGCATCCCCCAAGAACCACATGGTTTGCAGAGGAAAATGCTCAAAACCACTAATTACGGTGAATTCTCAGACAGAGTCTTTATGCTCGCTCCATCTGCAGCCGAGTCTGAAGGCACTTGCAGTTGACATTGACAGGAGCCATATGAAATGGACATTGACTCCTGGTGGGATACCAAAATTGGGGGGAGTTTTGATCATTTTGGGATACCAAGATTGGAAGTTTCTGGTAGGTTTTCGAAACAAATTGGCTCTTCTAATCCGGATGCTACTCCGTCCCCGAAAAGGAAAACGACCATACCTCTCTCTGGACTCATCCGTATCGGATCGGCAGGACTCATCCGTATCTCTCCAAGCTGCCCTCCGAGTGGTTTGAATCTCGAAACGGCCGTGCCTTGGAAGACCAAGCTACTAGGGGCTAGGAGCAATGTTCGCTACTAGGGTCTCCGCATAAGCAAGGACGCTACTAGGGGCTCCTGGCCGAACTACTAGGAGCAAGGACGCTACTTGTACTAGGGAAGCTAGGAAGACACGGGGCCTCCGTGCAAGTGTTCCCCTGGTCTGCCGGTGCATCCCGTAGGATGGTGAAAGAATTCGAGGCGTCCCAACATGGTTTGTGTTTTTAAATATGGTTGGCAAACTTTCTGCAGTGGCAGTATAGGATCTTCCCTCTGGGTACAGGCCCTCTACATGTATATATAAGATATATACCACATGATATTTCAGTTTCGTCCAGCTGCCATGCATTGGTGCTGTGGGTTCAAGACCGAACTCCGAATCGATCAGACTGGCCCGATCGAACTCCACCTTGGCTTGGAGCATTTGTAGACACTGGCTGGGATTCTTTGAATATCCGAAAAGGCGTACTCTTAGACTCTTAGTCTTTTGGGTTTTGAGGGGATTTCTTACTAACGCGTACTCGTAATCTCGTAGCAAAGGACCTATGAATAGCCATACAAGGATGATAGAATCAGTTGAAAGCTGGTGCGAAAGCACACCGAAAAGTCTGGTAGAAATCGCATGGTTGATTTTCTGGTTTGGTGTTCGAACAAGTTGCAGCCCATGGGAGCCTTACAGCGAAATCGATGATCAATATACCCATGTCATTCGTGTTTGAAGAAACACTAATGCCATTTCTTCACTAAATGAAGTGGAGAGCATGAAGCAGCATGATGAGTTATTTGTTGCGAGACTTGCATGAAGATCAACAACCTCAACACATCACTGTTATAAGATTATATGTGCTTCCCAGCCTCTATATATACTGGTACGTTAATAACTTGAGGTATGTGGGCAATTTGGTATGTCTTAGCAGGTTCTGAAGGGTGCCACAGAAATCCCCAAAAAACAAAGTGCCAGCCTATGTCCCAAACATAATCTGGACCCTGCAGGTTCATGACCTGACAGTCTCACTTGGGAATACACCAATATTTGGTTGAAAGGCACAAACATATGGAACAATGCAGGTTGAGCAGCACCCGGACTCCAGAAGACCGTTGGGTCAAGATCCAAGGCCTCAACACTAAGAGGGTTTCTGTCGTGCGAACATCCGTCGTCTCACGGGTTTCAGACGGCATCCGACTTTCGTTTCGGATTGCTCTGAGGCGATCCCTTTCCAAATGCCAGTGAGGGGCCCATCTACAAGCCCAAGGCGCATACCCAGAAGTAGTCAGTAGTCGGTGCCGAAAGGGGTTTGAGACCCCATGAGGAGGGCGCTGAAAGACTCCGCCTTGGACGCTCGAAGATGAATTTCCTTTAATCCTCTTGACTTGGGACGGTTCAACTCAATTAGTATTCAGGGAAGTACAGAAAGAACACGTCGTGGAAAGCCCAGAGCTAGCTTGGTGGGTTGAAAGCCTCAAATCCTTGCTTGGATGGTGTAGTTGATCAATTTATACAGTGACAGTTTGTGTGATGGACGCTGGGTACGGGCAATCACTGACCTTCAACAAAAAAAAGCTTCCGACCCGACCCCCCAAGAATGTGCTTGAATGTCCTTGTCATGTCCCTTGTCCCTTCATTTGATTGTTGTAGGTCAAGACCTGGTAAATCTCAGCAACAACGACCAGGATGTGACACTGAGATGTTTGAGACAATCGCCCTCTGCAGAATCAGAAGAGTTTTTTAGTTCAGAGCAGCTTTGATGCTTGAGAGATTTGAGAGGGAGGAAGACACAGTGAAGAACAATGAATAATTTCCTAGACGTTTTGCACAAATCCCATTGAATCCCATTGATGATATTGATGAACATCTAAGTTCTTTAATCCAAGGAAGTCTTGAGGATGAAGATGCTACAGTAACATACGGTACCGACGGTCACGCAGACAGATTCTCAACTTGTGAGCCAGGGCCGTGCCAAAGTGCGTGAAAAGCTAGACAAGCTCACGGATGACGCTTGGGTCAAGCAGGTGGATCTGTGGGCCACCAGCCGGACCCTAGGGCGGACCACGGAAAAGGAAGAACAGACTACCAGATAGGTCAAGCTAGGAGGGTGTGAGGTTCTTGACCCACAGCCATATATATATATATATCATATAGCTCCAGGCCCAGGAGCCTCCCAATGCTTCGGGATGGTCACTGAAGGTGAAAACGACTGAAGACTGAACTATCTTATACTTATGCCCATGATTTTTTGGGGGTG